CCGGGGCAGCACCCCATAGCTGTCACCTGCGGGGACAGGGGGCTCAGGGGGTGGGCCCTGCTGCTGCCCAGGGAGGGCTTTGCGAGCTGGGGCCGCGTTTGCCGCAGCCGCGTGGGAAGGGGGGCTGCACCATCCCCACGGGTTCCCTGGGTTGTATCCCAAGGATGGAGGGTCCCTGCTGGGAAAGCCAGGGGAGGTGGCAGAGATGGTGACACGGGGCCCTGCAGGGATGCAGCTTGAGCTTTCCCACAGCCAGCAGGTGTTTTGTGGCAGGGCTCCACCAGCACTGCGCATCCCTCTGCATCCCAGGGCTTGGGAGTGCTGGTGGCTGTGCTTTTGGATGTGCCAAGGGAGAAAGGCAGGAGGAAAGAGAAGGTTTGAAACCCAACCTCCCAAAGGCCATCCAGCCCCCTCATCCTTGGCTGTGAAGTTTCCCCTGCTGAGCCCCACGGCTCACACCACAGCACAGCCCCCTGAGAAGCAGCAAGGCAAGGACAGGGGGACAAGAGCCAGCAAGGACTCGAGATCCCAGTTCCCCACATCCATCCCAGATGGAGCAGGGCCAGGACAGACACCTGTGCCGGCAGACGGACGCTTCTGCTTCCCCTGCTCCCCACGGGACTCAGGTGTCACCCGCGAGGGCCCTGCTCGGGCTGTAATTACAATCCTGGCAGGGATCCCTGTCCCTCTGCCCTGAGCCCCTTGGGGGGGAGGGGGTGAGCTGGGGCTGCAGCTGCCCTGCGAGGGAGGAGCAATGTGATGGCACCCAGGGGAGCCTGTGGCACTGTGCCTGAGGGCAGGACCCCTGGATGCTGCCTGGGCACCCCAGGTCCCCAGATGAGCAGGGCAGTGTGACCCCAGCTCCCCCAGCACCTCTGGAAAGCCAGGGCCCTGCAGGGTGAAGCCAGTTTGGAGAGGGTGGGGAGTGTCCCCACCAGCTGTGGGTCCCCTGAGCTGTGCTCTGGCCTCGGGGGCAGTGGGTGCCCACTGGGGTGTGTGGGCTCTGCGGGACAATGCCGGGGGAGGCTGCTCCTGCTGACTCAGCAGAAGGAGCTGCTCCATCTGGAGCTGAGTCATCAAAACAGACTGTGATTCCCGGCACTGCCTTGGGCTGGGAAACCCCCCTCCAACCCAGCCAGGGGGAGCTGGAGCCGCCCCCCTGCCCCTGCCTTGTCTGCACACCTCAATCTGAGCTGTCTGAACATAGTGTTTACAGCTAAAACCCCTCCTGCCACCCACAGCAGGGATGGAGGTAGGGTGTGGGGAGCCTGGGGCAATGGAGGTCCCTACAGATGCCATCTCCCTGGGGTGACACCCAGCATCATACTAGTCATGGCCATGCCAGGATGTCCCTAAGGTTTGGCAGAGCTCCACAGCAGGGAGACATTCCTGGAGCACCCCCTCTCCATGCCCATCCCAGCCTCGCCAGCATACAGAGCTCTGCTGAGTTCAGCACCACTAGGCTGATTTTCTGCCCCTGTGAATGACCCAGTGAGGCCACCAACCTCCAGGACACCTCCCTGTCCCCGTATCAGCTGCTTGGGACTTGCCACCAAGTCCACAGCAAAGGTCCTCCTGTGAGGAGGCTGATACTGGGGCCAGGCACTGGCTGCCCCTGGGGGGAGGGGCCGAATCTCCCC